CTACACTGAGGCTTTCTCTGGCTTTAGATTGTGCCGACAGTGTGGCGGGATTGACTAGTAGAGGCGGGCGGCGGCGTCACACAGCGGCACACGTGACTCGATGCATGCGAAAGACACCTATCTTACTTCATCCGAAGAATCAGATTGGTACCCAGAAAATCGTTCCGCCAGGGACAGAACCGCCCGAGCTGCAGGAGTTGGATCCACCACCATGTTGCTCACAGATCCCGTTCCAGAAGTGGCCATTTCCCGAGCTCTTAGTGCATCTTGGTCCACAATGATTTCCTACAGATTTCGCAAGCAACTCAAAAGAGTTTTTGTTTGTGGAGCACACAAGACACTTCACACGAGGCGATCCAACGGCGTCGTCGCCGGCAATTGGCTCGTAATCATCTGTGTAACTTCGTCTGCCTCCATATCGGGAGAGATAAGTAAGCCCTACCTTTGTCTTTCCTCACCGCAGGCATAACAGCAAGTGATATGCAGAGCAAGATCGTGTTCGGGCTGTGCTTTCCCTTGCTGGTCCGTGCGCAAATGTTATTTTTGATGGGCGACCACACAAACTTTGCTTCCTTTTTCGACTCGAACCACATTTTTGCCACTCATTTTCTTCTCCAAACCACTGCCCACACACTCTCCTCCTCTTTCTTCACTCGTCCAGCGATGCCGTCGCTGTCCGACCTGATGGACTTGCCCATTGATTCATCCCCGTTCATGCCCAGCTCCGCCCCCCCTTCTCCCGCCACTCAGGCCACCGTTGTCCCTCACGACCCAGAGACCCCTTCGCCCCCTCAGAGGACCTCATCTGGCAATCAACGCAAGCGCCCCGGCGAGGACATGTCACAATTCGCAGGCGAAGTCGCCCGTGCCAACAAGCTGGTCAAAGCTGACCATGACCAGCTCCAAGACTTTGCAAAGGTACGCCGAGCTATTCTTTCAACCTCCTCTTGTACTCCAGGTCACATCTTTCCAGTTTGACCGCCCTCAGCAAATGATTTTTATCGCTGGATCCCTCTTTGCGCTTGGTCACCACCAGTGCCTCCTCCAGCCGGCCGATGCCCAGATTGTTGTACCCAAGAAACTCCGAGTACCTAAACCCTTTGTCATTGGCTTCATACTCACTATAGACTTGTTAGACAAAGATCCTCGAACACGCAGCTGGCTTGATCATCGACTCGTCGATCCCTGCCTACCGTGATGAGAACATCGGGCCGAACAAGCTCCTCATGGTATGCACTTTCTCTACACCAACACCAAAGCTGCTGCTCATCCTGCTCTTTAGGATCTGGCCCACCTCCACGGGGTGGCGTGGGGATTCACGAATGATATGAAGACTGATCGTGACCAAGTCAAAGCCATCAAAGACGAGATTGGCAGTGTTCTGATCAACAAGCGGCATATGTTCAAGAGCACTGTGAGTCGTCATCTTCGCTCATCTCCAACACTGATCATCTCGTATATATGTCAGGTTAGTGGATCCCTTGGCTCTGATCCTGCTCCCGGGGGAATGCTGCGCCCAGATGCCATGAACATTGTTGATCTAGCAACCCTCCTCATCTCCCAGCTGAAAGCCTCAACCAAAGTGGATATCGGGCTCTGTGGACGTGTTGCACTTTTAGTACGTCCATCATTCAATAAGCAGGCGTCGGAGCGCTCATATATTCATCAGCGGAAAATCGTCACTGAAGGGAACGACAACAAATTCTGGACTCTGGTCGATTCTGAACTCGCCAAGATGCGCGATAAATACCCGAACACGGTCGATCTATCCAAGTGAGTGCTGGATTATATCTATTGTTCGCAAGCTTATTATGGATGTTCAGGTTCATCAAGAAACATATCTTAGACCCCGACTTCAAAACGTACGGGTCTGTGGATCTTGCCGCACTCGGTGGCACCGGCCAGCGTCGGGCGGCGGTCGCCAATACACCATCGACGTTGGCAGGTCCCTCGGTATCCGGTTCCAATGCCAACAGCAACACTGCCGCGATCTAATTCTTCATCAATAGTCCCATCGCGCCAGGATGCGACGTAAATATTCTATTGTATACATACCACAGTCAGTGATAAGTCTAGTCATACACACGGTGTAATTCTTGCATATATATTAGAGTCAAATACTATTTCTTGTGCAACTATTACTGGCGATGTAGGATGAATACCTCTCCTCGAGGTCGGATGCATATCCCCCACAGTGTCCAAAAAACCTTCTGGAAATAGTTCAGACATATTGCGCAACATATTGCCAGGATAGTCTTCTCGGCGGAGCCTCCAGGGATTGACTTTGTCAATGTTTTGAGGATGTTTGAGCTGACATCAGTCAAACATCTGATGCAAAACATTTTCAGGACATCTTTTACAAACGGCGGTGTACAATAAGTTAGTGAATGGCGTTGACACCGAATTTTCGAAGTGGAGAGACTCTTGCCTCCGAGTCCACGGATCTTACCCGGCCGTGGCGCCAGCCGCCGAGTCCTTGACATTGATAATCGGTGGGTGGATAATGAGCGGTAATCACCAACCTGTATCTCTTCGAACTTCCTTCTTGTATTAATATCTTCTCATGGTCCGCGGGCCGTCTTGCCGCGAGCGAAATCAGTCCGAGCGCTTGCATGGTGAGCACTCTATACCCAACTCGAGAGAAAACGAAAATACCTGTGGTGAGAAAGAAACCAAAAAAAAAGTGGTGATATCCCCTCCTACGCACCGGCGGGGAGTCGAACCCCGGGCTCCCCATCAACACCGCAGGTTCACACCAGTATGATTGGGGTGTGTACCGTACACCATCGGCGCGCATACCCTGCCCTGTGCTGTCGGTAATCCATGAGAGAATCGAGACTTGAGAGTTGTGTTCAAGCTACATCCCGCGATGCATTGACGGTGGGAATCCCCGCCAGTTCAGTCGCACGCCTCACTGAATTTTGACGTCGTTCGGGACGCCAGGCATCCGCACTTCACTCAAGTCGAGGATACCGACTGGGTCGTCATTATCGTCTGCGTGAAGAACTGGAACGCCGCCTGCCCCACGGGCCACGGCGGGACTCTCCGCCCGTTCTAGCGCGCAGTGGATTACTAGATCAGTATGTATCCCCCCGAGTTATCACGGTACCTCACCTTATGCAGCCAGCGCGGTAAATGCGCACCTACGATCTGAGCGGGGCGTCAATCATCTATTAGTTCTATCACCTGCTTATTAGTTCGAGGGAAATAATGATAAAGGAGGCAACGCACTCGTGAACTGGCTGGATACAGCGAACATGAGATATCGATAGGAGAAAGGAAGGCGAGAGCAAAGAAAAGGAGTACGCCTGCGCATCCCCGGCCGCCCCGCGCTTATTCGGACGATGCGCCTCGCACAGACGCGGGGAGTGCGCCGTACATACGTAGCACCCGCACCGCAAGCTGTCGGTCGCGCGGAAAGCGGAAGAGGAGCGAGGCGAGAGGGCAAGCGGGCAAGCGGGGGGTGACGCGGATGTCGCAGACGCTGGCAGAGCGCCAATTTCCAAGAACAAGAGCAACAGCCGGTGTAGCGGCTGTCATACTGTATCACGCAGGGACGAGGAGGGGGCAGCTGCGCAGGCGGGGCGCGCGCGCGGTAGTAGTGAGATGCGCACGTACGATCTGGGCGGGGCGTCAAACGCCTATTCGTTCAAGGGAGGGAGCCAGCGCACGACGCTCCGGCGTTCTTGGCTGGCTGAATACAATACGACGAACGTGAGAGGAGAAAGAAAGAAAGAAGGGCGAGAGAAAAGGAGTACGCATTCGGATCCCCGGCCGCCCCGCGCTTATTCGGACGATGGCTTGGGGAGCGCGCCGGACGCCATCGGTGCTCGTACGCCCGCACTACAAGCTCTATCTTGCGCGCGGAAAGCGGAAGAGGAGCGAGGATGAGGGAAGCGAGCGAGGCGAGGTCAAGAGGCGGGGGTGACGCGGACGTCGAAAAGACGAGCGAGGGCTGGAACGAGCGGGCACCGGCGGAGCGCCATTTCCAAGACCAAGGTGTACCGGATGGCACATCAGCCAGGGAAGCGGAGGGGGCAGCTGCGTGCAGAGCACGTTAGTAGTGAGATGCGCACGTACGTAGGACGCGGGCTACAAGTTCTGGTTCGCGCAGGAAGCGGAAGAGGAGCGCAAGCGGAGCGAGGATGGGGTGGGGCAAGGGAGCGACGAGGCGAGAATTCCAACGGTCAAGCGGGGTGTGACGCACACATCGCAAAGAAGCGAGGGCGGAGACGAGCGGGCAACGGCCCAGCGCTAATTTTCGAGAACAAGAGCAACAGCCGGTGTACCGGATGGCACATCAGCCAGGGAAGAGGACGGTGTTGCACGCAGTGGAGGCCTGCGAGGGCGGGTGCGTGCGTTAGTAGTGAGATGCACGCCACGCCGCCAGAGCTCTTGAGGGACATACGACATGCGCCGGGAGCCGGAGCTGTGCATGAGGAGCCACGCGTAGGGCCGCCCCGCCAATCGCCGAGCACGACGTCGACAGAAGACTGAATCGGGCGCGGGATGCAGCATGCGCGACGCAAGAAGCTGTGATGCTTGTGGGCGTCGCGTCAGCCGCGGAATGCCGACAAACATCGGAAGCTGATTCCGAGCGAAAGATCATAGATGATGTGGGAGAGCATGCCAGTGCATCACGGTGACGCGTCACTGCTTGCGGAATCCACGTGGCCGTGCGAACTTCAAGGCGTCACTCTCGTCAAGTACGGTATACTTGCTTGTGCCTTGTACCACAATTGGGAACTCGGAGACAACCGTCGAATACATACTTTGTCCTCCAAAGCATACTCCTACCCGCGCACGTCCCACATGCGCGATTCGTCGATGCCCGAGATGCCCGAGCGCACTTTGAACATCTCCCCTTCATCCATGAAGAATACATCCAGACACGGACACCCTCTGGGAATTGACGAGGGGAGAATGCATCGATGCGCCGCCTGCGACTGCTCCCCGGAGTCCCCGCACGTCCAAATTTCAAAAAGCAACATGCAAAGCTATGCGGACGCGGGGAATCGAACCCCGGCTAACTGATTCCATCGATGAGAACCGGCTATGGAATCCAGCGGTGCGCCGTACACTACGTCCACTGATGACTGGCTAGTGCCATGCGCCAGGGTTTCAAGCGTAGGATCGAGGGCCAGGGGTACGGCCAAATAAACCAGGGGTAGATGCCGACTGAACCAAGTGGCCAACTAACGCGCTGGGGTACGTGGATCGAAAATGAGGGGAGCGAAGGACAGCGAACTTCCCTAGCGAAGGCGAACTGATACGCGTTGCATTACTGTAATACCGGTATCTGCCCAGGCCGACAGATCTTAAAATCGAAAACAAAACAATTCAGGTCGACGGGAATGCACCGGCGGGGAGTCGAACCCCAGTACTCCCATATGCATCAACATTGGTCCTTCGTGGTTGTGTAAAGCGGACGGGCGTATGCCACACACACCACCGGTGCGCGTACCCTCCCTAGCACGTCCGACGATGCGCAGGTGATCTTCTGAGCGACCGCTGCGATGAGAGTTCTCCAGGGAAGGAACGAATAAACGAGGGGTAGACACCGACTGGCGCCTTGAGGTAACTTGGAGCTGGCAACTGGCACCTAAAGCGCAGGGGTAACGTGGGTCGAAAATGAATGAGGGGAGCGAAGGACCTCGAAACACGCGACCTTCCAATAGCAAAGACGACCTGATAGATACACGCTGCATTACAGTAACACCGGTATCCGCACAGCCTTCCTTCCCTCGAGGCCGACAGACGTCCCCCATACCGAAAATAACAAAAACAAAAAATCAGCAGCGACAACTATGCACTGGTGGGGAGTCGAACCAACAATCTATAGGAAGTTTGCTTAAGCAATGGCTGTCGCCCAGTTTTCCCATCACCATTATTCCTCTTCGTGTAAAGAGGACGGGTGTGTGCCGTACACCTGGACCACCGGTGCGCATACCCTAATTGGTGCCGCCGTACGCAGGCCCTGCAATTCCACGAGACAAGAGAGGTGTAAATCAGCTGTGAGCGAGAAGATGGCCGGGTTGGGTCAAAGGAGATAGACATGACGTGCGGGGGAGGGAGATCGACATCGAGAGTGGAGAATGAGGGGAGCAGAGACAGGCTGGAAGAGAAAGAGACAGACGGCGGCCCTCAGGTTGATTTAATTGATTCTGGGAGCCGAGGAGAGCCAGCAATGCATGGAGCAAAGTATCGCGGGGCAGACGCGAGAGCTTCGGACAGGTGCGGCAAACCCGCCGTCCGCGTGTGCAAGATCTTAGGAATGTGGCTCCAGCAATTTGTATGGACAGAAGTAGTAGTGGCGTAGACAAGAGGGCTTCCAGGATTGCGCATCACAGCGGAGAGAAGGCGAGCGCCCCGCCACCCCGCAAAAAAGAAATACAAGTGCGACGGATGCATGCACCGGCGGGGAATCGAACCCCGTATGGGCTACCGCTCGCGCCTGAACAGAGATGCGCCGAGAAAAAATCAAAGGCAACGAATGGCCCCCTGGCAGAAATAACTGAGTCATAAACCGATGTATGAGCTGGAGCTTCAACAGAATGAGCGAGGAGAGCGACAGCTTGAATATCCAGACGGGCGAGACGCGAGCGTAACGCATACATAGGAGAACCGGTGCAACACATAGGAGGGCCGGTGCGACACATCGGAGGGCCAGCGCAACACATATGCAGCGCGAGATGGCGCACGATGGCGAGAAGACGCAGAAGAGCGCAAGAGCGGGAGAGAGGAGAAATCAGAAGTAGTGTGTTCAATACACGCATTAGCCCGTGCCTGGGTGTGTTGTAGATCTGCGATGCAGGAACCTAAATTGGAGCACCAGCACTGCACGCAGACAAGAAAAAGGCCTTAAACAAATTCCCGATGCACTGGCAGGGAGTCGAACCCCGACTTCCCCACGAATCCAACTGGAAATCCTGAAAGATGCAGGGGGTGCACCGCGCACCACCGGTGTGGGTATCCTGTAAAGTCGTACCCGGAGTACGAGCTGTAGTTGCAACAGAACGAGCGGGGAGAGCGACAGCTTGAATCGCCGGACGGGCGAGACGCGAGCGCAACATACACGTGGGGGAGCCAGAAAGTCAGAGATGGCGAAAGAAGGAAGATGCAGAAGAGCGCAAGAACGAAGGCATCGAAAATGACCAGCAGCAATGCATTCAATAAACAGAGCAATAATGAAGATACGTAGCGTAGGCTGGGCCGTGCGTGCGTGCTGAAGCCCGTGCGCTGGGTATATCGTGGATCTGCGATGCAGGAACCTGAAAATGAAGGAGTTGCAGAGAAGGAAAAAAGGAGTTGACCGCGGCCCATCTATGCACCGGCGGGGAGTCGAACCCCGGCTTCCCCATGATCATCCGACTCCTCGAGGTTATGCGTATGGGGCGTGCGCCGCGCACCACCGGTGCTTATACCGACTTGTCGGAACTGAATCATACGGCGAAACTCGAAAGATGCGTGTAATCCATAGAGAGTATCATAGGACCCGCGAAGGCAGATCAATGGTTTTTGCGAGTGAGAGCAAGACAACGCACGAGGGCGAGGGCGGGCGAGATGGCCTGAATGAGAGACACCGAGCGCAGACGTCCGAGAGCAGAAGGAGAGGGATAAAGAGGCAGAAGCAGTGCATTCAATACACAGAGGAATAATAAAAATACGTAGCGTAACTTGTCCATTCGTGCGTGCATGAGTCCATTCGTGCAGAGTCCGTGCGTGCGTCGTACGAGTCCGTTCAAGTTCACTCCCACTATCTCCTCCTCTTACCCTGTCGCACTCCCGTCATCCCCTCGCCTTCGGCCTAACTCCTGCCGCGCGGGGGAAGTGAGCGCTTAAAGGACCACCCCCACCCCGAGCGCAGCGAGCACAACGAGCATCCCTGGCACCGTGGGCACTGACGCGGCGTTACTCGGACTCGCGCTCGGCGCGCCGGACTCGGTCTGCGTGGGCGTCGTTGGCTTCGAAGCGGGCGTCGTGGACGCCGCAGGGGTGCTTACTGCGGGTGTAGAAGCCGCGGGTGTGCTTGCTGCCGGCGCGGATGAGGTTTCGGGCGTCGACGAGGTGGCGTCATCAGTGGAGGAGACGTCGTCAGTCGAAGAAGGCGTGGAGTTGGGCGTGGAAGAAGGAGTGGAATCAGGCGTAGTGGAGGTAGCGCCGCCCGTGGTGGAGGGGGCGCCCGTGCTACGACAGTGTCTCGATGATAAAGAAAGGAGGGGCAGGACTCACTAGCACTCGGATCCTGCGCCACGCCCGGCGGGCACTGCGATGAGCCGGACGAGAACGAGCCTTCCTGCATATATCACCTCTTAATCAGCATCCCGCCCTCACTTGACTACCAATAGACCACGCACCGCAGGGAAATAGGTACACTCCCCAGCTCCCCCATCATACTCGCAGCTGACGAAATCGCCCGAGGGTGCGGAGCCGGAGAGGGGCACGCCGTCGTCGTCCGCTGGCGCGCATTGGATGCTTTGCCGCCGAGAGATGCCGTACGCTCCCCGGCCAAAATCAGACTCGGCGGAAGGGGCGGAAGGGGCGGCGAGGGCGGAGGCGGTGAGGAGCAGGACGGAGAAGAGGGCGGTTGGGCGCATCGTGGGTGTTGCTGGTCGTTACGTGGGCGTGTAAAGCAAGGAGCTGGAAGCAAGAAACAACAAGCAAGGCGCCAGAAGTAGAAGGGAGAAGAAAAACGAGCAAGCTGCGTCCGGGCGCGGTCAAGAAGCGAAAATCAGGACGGAGAACGGATTTGCGCCACGTGGGGGACTGCCTTTTCGGGCGGTCCGGCCCACGTAATCTCTCGGATCGATGCGCTCGGGGACCCGGACAGTGGGTGCTCGAGGGACATCTCCTCCGAGCCCGCTGCCACCCAACCCGCTCGATTCCCTCGTCCAAAGTGGTCCTCTGCCCCCTCCTTCAACCCTCCTTAGGCTCTCGAATCTATGCGCACCCAAGACCACACCAGCTTTCTTGCAACTCTGACTCACTATCAATCGCAAGAGATCCGCTCCTTGTTTCACTTCCACATCTTCGCCACCTCGGTCTGCACTACCCAGGCAACAATCTGTCGTGGAGTTCTTTTCCGATCTCCTGCGGGAAACGACGTACCACGGTGCGGACCTGGCGCTCCGCCTATCTCCGTGCCTCATATCTCTGCGACTCTCTCTTCGCACCCCTGTCGCAAGTTATAGCAGTGTTCTTCGTCTGCCTCCCCGCCTTTCGTCATCTGCTCAGACGCATGCCGCAGCGCTCTCGCTGCGAAGACGAATCACGCTCCCCTCGAGTTGGATTCTACCACACAAATCATGGTCCCTCCTACCAGTGTATATGCGCCGGTCGTGTACGGTACACACCCCATAATCCTTTGAGTGGCATAATGCTGTGATGGGGAAGCCGGGGTTCGACTCCCCGCCGGTGCATATAGTGGAGCGAGCGTACTTTTTCTTCCGCTTGTGAGCCTCAGGGTGAGCAGGTTCCTTTGGCATGGGATTCGAGCGTGTCCTGTGTGCGCGATCGAGGCTGCTAGCAATCCTCCACCAACGCACACGATCCAAATGACCTCATAGCCCCGAGATCCGTTGCATCTCCGCTCTGCCTGCACCTCTGAAGCACGCCGCTCTAACTGCATTGCGCGGGGGAAACTCGGGCGTTCTTGGCACCTCCTCGACCTCTGAATTCTCTAAGAACACCCTGCGGCGGACTTGTTTTTCTTACCTTGCGGACCTCCTGCTTCCCCTATCCTGGGACTCCCGCCGAGCGACGCTGGTCCGCATCCTCGTGATGCTGCGCCACTGTCCATCGATCCACCAGGTTATCTATCAGTCGCATCATCCCCCACTGTGCTCTCCTCATCCTTCGTCTGCCTCTCCATCGTTCCTCGCTGCTCCAAACTGAGACTATTCCCTTAGTCAAACCTTATTCATACTCCCCCAATTGTCTCCTGCAATTCCAGCGCCTGCGTAGCATGTTACGAGCGCCGGTGGTGTACGGCACAAACCCCATACTCATGCTCCTTTCGTGAAGATGTGATGGGAATGCTGGGGTTCGACTCCCCGCCGGTGCATTCATCCGCCGTATTCTTTTTCTTATT